ACTTCCCTTGCTCAAACAGATCAATAGTCTGCGTTTCTGATGGGTGCACTTGATAAATGAGACTGAGCTGACATTGCACGTTGGATACAAACCCAGCCAGAATCCAAACCCAAACGCGCAAATAGGAAACAGAAAACCCAAGGACAGGATCATCAGTACTGTCAACCAGTCACAGGCCTTGGGTAGAAATAACAACTGAAACCTTCTGTTCCCTAATCTAGGAAGAGGGCTTTCCTTTCTCTTAGGTCAATCTTGGGTGGATTCAGATGGGAGAAAGACGTGCTAGAATCATCCCCCCAGTTTACTCAACACCTGCTATGACTCAGGTAACGTGCTAGTCTCAGAGTACAGAAATAAGAGACACAGTTCCTTCTCAAAGAATTTATATTCTAGGGTGAAAGACAGAGTTAATTAATAATATCAATGTAGTTCTAAAATCAAGCCCTCATGCACGGTACTAGAGGAGCACATGGTATGTATAGGCTTGTGTATTTGTGTGGCTGGTTGGTTAAGCAAAGGCTTCTCTGAGGTTTTGAGCTGGGCATGCAAGCAGGGAGCAGAGACTACAGATATATCTGGCTCCTCTACTGTGCTTCAATATATTTCACTTTGCAAATATTGCCTTTTTTTTTTTTACTAGATTGAAGGCTTGCAGCAACCCTGTGTCAAGCAAGTCGCTCAGTCCCTTTTTTCCAGCACCTCTTGTCTCTTTTTCACATATTGATAATTCTCACAATATTTCAACCTTTTCCATTATTATTATATTTATTGTAGTGACTTGTGATCAGTGATGTTCAATGTTACTACTACAACTTGCTGGCAGCTCAGATGATGGCTAGCCCATTTTTTAGCAATAAAGTATTGTTTAATTAAGACAGGTACATGGTTTTTTTTAAGACATAACGCTATTGTATATTTAACAGACTACAGTGTAGTGTAAACGTAACTTTTATATGTACTGGGAAACCCCGAAATTCATGACTAGCTTTACTGCAATATTCGCTTTACTGTGGTGGCCTAGAACTGAACCTGTAGTGTCTCCCAGGCAGGCCTGTATTAAAGTCACACTGCCAGACTCTGTAAGGTCAACAGGGGGCACTGCTGGGGCTCAATATCCTTAAGACTGATTCTGAAGTTCTCTGTACCTAAGTACCTGTAGGATTTATACCGCGAAGGGGAACCTTTGTAATGGCTGAGTGCTCTGCCCCAAGACAGTCTCTCTGCACAGAACAATATAAAAAGTTGTGAAACACAGCCCCCTGGCCCTTACATTGTCCCTGCTTAGAAAGGTTAATATTTCAACTAAGCAGTATTTATAAAATGCCTGCCATATACAAAGTGCTGTCTGATACTGTCTGCTTAGTCTGTGCGCTCCTTCCTGCAAGAGGAAATGCTTTCCCCCAGACCAGGAGCTCCCCGGGTGTGGGAAGCCCAGGTGGGACACCATGTTCTCCAAGGACAAGCACCTGTCTTCTTCCCTTCCAAAGCCTCAACCTCCCAGCACTGTCTTCAATGCAAATGATTCTCTGCTACTCCAGAGAGAGGTAAATGCCTCTTGAGTGGAGGACTGGTTCTCTTCCTATCCAACCAGCTTCTTTCTAGTCCTCCCTCTCATCCTCCAGACATGCACTGCCCTCCTACGCCCACCTTACCCTGGATCCTCAGGCTCTCTTGATATTGGATGATGAAGTACTCTTGAGTCTGCTGTAGCTTCTTCAACTCATTCTCTGTGTCCTGCGTGACCAGTCGCAGCTCCTCAAATGTCTGGTTGATCTGAAGGTGTTTCTGGGACATGGTATCAGCGAGACTTCCAGCCGGAGAAGTACCCTGGAGACAGATCAGGCAGCGGTGAGCTGGTGGCGAGGATGGGAGAAAGCCTTGGGCCTTAGTCCCAAGGGAGAGCTGATGCTCACACCTGTAACTGGGTTGAGATGCCACAAGCTAAACTTTGAGGCAGAGAATTGAAAATGTTATTTGTGAGGGTTGCAGTATTATGAGAAAAGAGGAGCAACAGGTGACCCAGCAGACGGTGGCACCTTCATAAAACATTGTAGCAACTTCTATCACAGTTCTGGCTTCCACCAGAGTATCCCACTCCGGGTCCACCTGAATTCTCTCTGGAGAGACTAGAACCCAACATATCCTAGGAGTTACCTGGGTTTTCCTACTAACGATGATGGCCCCTCATTTTAGTCGTTCACTGATCGGATACCACGTCTGTGCCGGGTGCTGAGGACACAGTGGGGGACAAGGCTGTGTGAACACACATCATCTGTCCTCCCTCAAGACCTTGTGACAGAGGGGAGAGGATGAACCTCTCACAGGCAGTGTCCCCAAATGAAGACCCCACTGGAGATTCCAAATGCAGTTACAGGGGAGGCTTCAACAAGGGCTTTGTGGATCCAGACACTGAACTGGCCCGGTCTGATCCTTTCCTTCAATATCTGGTTGAGAGGGAGGGTGAGCAGAAGTTATTCCTAAGTAGCCTCACCTGAACAGAAACATGTCTCTCCTCAGACATTGGGGTTAAATTATTTCGCACTAGTTCACATGGTTTTGTGGCTGTGACCTCAGCAAGTTACCGATCAGTTAACATCAGAGACCAATCTCTATTTCCTCTGTGCCCCTTAGGACAATGCTCTGTTTATAGTGACACCAATATTGTACACTGAGTCATCCTGCCAAAGCTGGGTCCAGAAAGAGCTGGTCAAGAAAGGACTTCCCAGTTCCTCTCCTCATACTGACAGGACACTCACATTGTTGGCTTCTCGGACCAGCCTCTGTTCATTGTACAGGATATGGCGGATGCAGCGGACAAGCTCCATGGGGCAGCGGTCATAGGTGTTCTGAAAGAATCCAACAGCAGACATTACTCTGTTTCATTCCATGCTATGGGATCGAACCTTACCTCAGAGCAGGGGCCAGATCTTATGACGAAGGAGACTCCTGGAGACACAATGCTGTAATCATGAGAAAAGCTGCTCCTCCAATGCCACATTGTGGGAAACCCAACTGCAGCAAGAAGGTAAAATTATTTTATTTCTTGCCTCTTAATTTCCCTAAAGTAAGGGTGCCATGCTTGGAAACAGGATAAATTTCAAAAAGGCTATATTAGAGGAGAAACTGGACACTACCTTGACTGGGCAATCAAAAAACTACTAGCACCAATGATGGTAAGTTGGACATTGCACGTCTCTCGATGTGAAACCTTGAGACGGACACATTACTTATTGAGAATTCTGATCAGCGACTTGTAACCTGAATCTAATCACGAGGAAACGTCATAAAACCCCAAATAAGGTTCATTTTATCTTTAAAAAACAGAGGAGCTGAACTATTTTAAAATGTCAATGTAATGAAATGAAGGAAAGTTGACAAATAATTCTGTATTAAAGGAGACTAACGAGACATAATAACTAGATGCAATATGTGATCTTGACCTGGATCCTGGACTGGAGGGGAAAATGCCCTAAAGGGCATTGTCAGTTGACAAAATAGAAATATAGATATAAGATTACCTTAAAGTGATGTATTGATGTTCAATTTCCTGAGGTTGATAACTGTACTATAACACATAAGAGAAGATTCTCATCCTTAGAAAATACAAACTGAAGTGCGTAGGGGCAAAGGGACATGATGTATGCAATTTACTCTCAAGTGATGAAAAAGTGTGTGTGTAGAACGTGATGAAGCAAATGTTAACAACAGGTGACTTTGAGCATATATAGGGGTTGTTTTGAATCAATCTTGCAACTGTCTATAAATCTGAAATTACTTGCAAAGAAAAAGTTTTAAAAAGGCAGCTACAACCACAAAACCAAATAATTAAGAACTTCATACATGTCACATGTGACTCAACGACGCTGGGTTGAAAAAGGGAAAGAAAATCTCTACTGGCAGAACTGAATGAAGGAAACGACCCTGTAGGAAAGTGAATGAAGCGTGGCCCTGAACCCACGCCCACCTGGGGCTGCGCGGCCGGGAGCCCACACCCACCTGGAGCTGCGTGGCGTAGTGCCCCAGCTTGATCTTCAGTAAGAACCCATCTTCCCCCACTTGGTGCTCTGCCTTCTTCTGCAGCTCCTGCACCAGGCCCTCCAGGAGCTGGGTGGCCTTAATGTTCTCCTGTGGATTATCAAGATCTATTGAGTCCCTGGGGGAAAAAAATTACATACATATGTATGCATACACACACACAAACCTGTATAAATGCAGCCTCAAAGCATCACACTTTTTCTTCGGCTAAAGTGATTTCTTTATAACGCTCACTGCAAATTTTCAGAAACATTCTGATTTGGATTGACTAGATACCTACATTAACCTATTCCTAATGCACTAATTACCTTAATGGAATCGACAGTATATTTTTCTTTTCCTCTTTCTTTGCAATGTACTGGCCTTTCTCCTTTCTCCGACTGACTTGCGCTGGTGCTTATACTATCTGCTTCTAGGAATGAAGGGAAAAGGAAAGTGCTTTGTGTACTCTGAAGGAAATAAGGACTCTGATAATTTCCTATTTATAGTTACCCCCTCAAGGGTGTAAGGGGGCACAGGGTCAAGAATGTGCTACATGTTTTTTCCAGCCTCAACTAGTTCTATGTGTTGCTAACTTCACACAGAATGTTTCTTAAGAAAGACAAGTGAAACAACATTTATTGTTATTTCTAAGGAACCCTGGAAATGGGATATTAAGACAGAAGATGCCCACAAGTATTTAGACAAGTTAGACATTTACATCACTTGTTGTGGATTTGGGACATATAAGTAATGCTTACATGAACCGGAGAAGCCACTCTATGAACTTCATATTAATTAAAAGCCATTTAACTGGTGTCAGGGGTTGGATGGTCTCCCTCCCTCCCTCCCTCCCTTGCCCCACTCTTCCCTCCACTCCCTAACTCTCTCTTGCTTTTTAAAAACAACTTAGGCAACAATTGCTATTGGGCAGTACTAAATTACTTAACTCAGCTCACTGAAGAAACCAAACAGCTGTCAGATTGAAATAACATTCATCACTGCTGGTGGGTCTGGAGCCAAACAAGAGATCTGGTAGTAGCTAAGAAGCTCATCATCTCTAAAATACCCATGAAGTCAGTAAGCAACTAATTTCAAACAGGCACAAACAGGTATACCAAACCATTGATAATTCATATCATCAAATAATATGCTCAAATCTGCACTTTGGAGAAGGCAGTATAGAAAACCAAGCTCTAAATATCCATGTACTATGTACTAAATAAAATATGTCTAAATAAAAGCCTGGAAAGAATGAAGGCAGCCCTGCACCTCAGTTTTGACTGGCAATAACGTTCCTGGTCGGAAAAACCCACTCTTAAGAAGAGCCAGTCTCTGAGCAAAACTCATGGAAACCAAGCACTACTGGTTCTTGTACTTGAAAATTTAATTCTCTACTAAAACAGACAAACAAAAAAATCTTCCAAGCTTAAACACGAAGAACTGAAGATATTTTAATTAAAATATTTATATTCTTAAGAAAACCAAAACTAAATAAAATTCAGGTTTTCCTTATTATCAAGTCTTTCAACATTCGTTCAGTAAGAAGACTGCATGGGAAATCTACTACATGAAATTGTGGATCAACAGAAACTTCCTACTAATGTTTTTCTGAACTTTCCAAATCTGTGAAATACAAAAGAAAATGAAAAGGAAATGGAAAAGCACTAAACAAGGTACAGCTGACATGCTCAAATTTAGCTCCTTTTTTTTTCTCACTTAATTACATGAGGCTGAGTTTTTTTAATTGCCTAGAAAATTGCCTTCCTTTGGTGCTCTCCAGTGTTTGAACAGAAATCTGCTACTAACGATGGCAATTATCCCAAGACAACATTACTGACAGGCATACAGCTCTCCTCAAACAGCAGCATAAAGGTTTTCTCCGGGGCTCTGTCAAAGAGGACCCCCACTTTCCTGGCCTCGATGTGGAGGCCTAAAGTATCTGACGAATATGTCAGATCAGCTGGAGACTGGTAACCAACCAACTGGTGCCTAGGCCCTGGTGTGCAAGAATGTTGTTGATTAAAAAGCTCTGTTGTCAATCTACTGCACTGTACTGAATCTAAAAGAATTTAAAAACAATTTTCCCCTTGGGTATATAAACAGTAATTTGGGAAACAAGAAAAATAAAATGCCTGTTAAATCTACCACCAAGACATAATTATTGTTAACATTTTGGTGTGCTTTTTTTTTTTTCTGAGGTAGGGGAATTAGGTTTATTTATTTTTTAATGGCAGTTCTAGGGATTGAACCCAGGACTTTGTTCATGCTAAACACGTACTCTACCACTAAGCTATCCCCTCCCCTACCTTGTACTGTCCTTTAGTCTTTGCATATACATATATATATCACGTATATATATATAATATATATATAATATATATATAATATATATATTACATATACATATGAAAGCACCAAAGTGTCTGTTGTTTAGTCTGTTAACGATACACTTTATTACATTTTATGCACACCCATACCTTACCTGCATCATCAAGCACTAAATTCTTTGTGGACAAGAGCCTCAATGTTTTCATATGAACTCTACTACCTACAACACTGCTCGGCACTCAGAACATATCTGTTAACTGTTCTTTATTAGCAGCACTCTAATACTTTCAGCCAGAATTTACTATTAAAGGAAGCAAATCTTATTTTCAAAAACCTCAACAGTTATTCCACCCTCCTAAAATTTAAGATGGGGTTAAATATCTTTTCATGGGTCAGATAATTTTCTTTCTTAAGTGTACAACTTACAGAGTCTTCATTATGTCATCTTTCCAATCAAACTTCAATATACTTGTGCTTCACAAAATATGATGGAAAAAACTTTGTTCACTTACCAAGCTTGGCTTTCAATCCACTGAGATAAATAATGCCGCACTTCGATGGGGAAATGCTGACCATACAAAGCTTGCATCTGATGAAGGGCATCTCCTTGGAGCTGCTGGGCTTGTATCCACACAGCCATGGTTTATAATCTATTAAATAAACAATCAGTGGTTTGGGTGTTTTTTTCCCCCCTTCCCCTTTTAAATTCACCAGAGTAAATATTCAGTAATAAAGGCCAGAGATAAAGGCATTTAAGCCCTTTCAGTAGACGAAAGATCAGTACTCCTGAATTGAATTTTAGCCTTAAAATGTTTTCAAAACGTAGCCATTCAACGTGGCCACTGAAATGGCGATGTAACTGGGTATATAACTGGGTCTATGAAGTTCTGGCTGTAAAATATATTGAAGTCCCACAAGCAAAAGTACAAATCCAGGATTCAGGGAAGAACTGCCTATAGCTTTGATATAGACATATTCTTTCTTTTCTTTTGTTCCAACATGAAGCAACAGTAAGCAGCATTTCAACAGTAATGACAAAGAAGTAGCACCGGAAATAAAAAAAAAAATCACTTGTTTTAGATTTGGTATTCTGACTTTTAAGAAATGCAATAAATACATTGCCATTCTGAAAAAGACCCAGTAAAAAGAAAAGTGAAAATATCTAAAGCATGGATTGAACCCTATGTATTATCACTGTTTACCTAAGCAGTAATGATCTGCACATAAAGGGCACAGATTTATCTGGAAAAATAACCCCAAGGTTCACCTTCTGAGTTACCAATAAGGAACTTATGAAGCAATGTTCTGTTAAAATTATAGCATTTAAAAATCTTTCAGACATAAAAACAATACACTGCAGCTAAGACTTAGAAAGAAGAACCATTATATTCCAATAGTGGGTAGTTTTTAAAAACACACCCTTGATTTCAGAAAAACAATTTTATACAACTACCGTAATGCTTTCTCAGGCTCACCAGAGAGTTTTTAATTCATTTGGCTAAAACTCTCCGGGATTAGCCACATTGGGACATCAACATTACTTTCATGTACACTAAAACTGAATCGTGCTCTAACACTGATTCATAATGTGGAATTTGGTATAAGACAGGTCTATCTTGAATCCTGTCCAAAACGATTTGGCTACTGATTTGCACAAGTCTCCCAAGAACTGTGTCATAGTTAAGGTCCGGTGAATCACACCTTGATTTTGTTGAATACCAGAGACCACACAAGTGTGTTAGGAAACAAAAATCCCTTCTCTGAGTCGTAGTTGTCCGATCGCATAACACAGAGCTATTTATGGGACAAGTTAGTTAGCCAACAATGACGTGCAGGGTGGGTGCCAGTTACCTATTTTAGATTTGTGCTATGCTATAGAACACTTGAGCAGTGTACAATTTTATTTAGGGCTTTTGAACATTAAGGCTGGGATCACTGTAAGATCACCCAAGACATCAAATTTCATTGTCTGAGAGTTTACCAGGAGAAAGACTTAGATAAAAGAGCTCTCCCCAGAAGTAATCCCACAACACAATCAAACATCTGGAAGACATTTAATTGTATAACATGATTTTTAATCAGATGATTCATATCCCAAGAGCCATAAAATTGGAACAGATACCAAAGCACGTTTTTCAGACAAAAGGTAAAGGGATGTATTGGGAATGGATGAACGTGCTTAGGTGTTTAATACAGGCAAGAATGATAAAGGAATGAAGAAAAGAATTCAGGTATTAATCTCTTTAAGTGGTAAGGAAATGGAAAGAAGAAGGACCTTGCCATAGCTCTCTTAATGAACACGTGAGTAGTACCAATAGATACAAAAATCATCTTGCATCCTGCGTTCATTAACTGAATTGACCCAAGAGGCAAAAGAAGGAAAATTGTGGGAAAACGTTTATCTCCTCAGAGACTCCTCAGTCTATCCAAATAAAATAGTATTCCTTTCACTCTCTGTCCTCTCAGTCTGCTTTATTTTTCTTGGTATCATTTATCACTTCCTGACATTTATCATATATTTGTTAACTGAATTCCCACCGGGGTGAAACCACCACAAACACAATGGCTTTGTTTTGTTTGTTGCTCTTTCTCTTGGGCCTAGAACTGTGCCTGGCACATAAGCATTCAGTAAATTTACTGTTGTTGAAGAAATAAATGTATATAGACAATTTGGTCAAATCTATCAGGTCTTCTCAAAATCTTATGGAACAAGATATCAGATGAAATACCAAGTCAGGAAAATGAAACAGGTTTTAGGACTTAGATGTCTGTATTAACAATGGCCTATCTGTTCCTTAGTAACATATGGCCCAATTTGTAATTTTCCCTTTTAGTTTTTGTTCATTTGTTTCTGTCTGTCTTCCACTGAACTCCAAGACTAGTTAAGTGAGGGAGCATGTCTGTTCACCACTTGTCCCTAGTGCATACAATGGTGGCTTGCCATGTGAGTAGTCAATAAACATTTGCTACGTGAATAAATACATATCAAATATTTGGTAAGTATCTCATATGTCCTGCTGGCTGAGCATATTCCAGTAATCTATTATCGTTTTAAGAAAGAAATACTATGGTGATATGCCACATAGGGGTACGACATAAATATCACACTATTTTGTCAAGTTTTATATTAGTTCCTAGTTTCTATCAAAGAGTGGAATGCTGAGCTCTCAGAATTTTTCAGAATATTTTTATGGTTCTAAATATGAACATGTAATAATAGTTATTTTCTAAAATGCCATTTGAAAGATAATAGCTGGCAAATAAGGTGGTAACCACCTTATTTTGATAAATACAATCTACTTTCACTACAAATAAATGCTTTGATAGAGCTGGAAAGTTGATTTTGCTTACCGCCAGTCAAAAATGTAAAATAAGAGGGGAGGGTATAGCTCAAGTGATAGAGAGCATATTTAACATGCACAAGGTCCTGGGTTCAATCCCCAGTACCTCCTCCAAAAATAAACAAATAAATAAATAAATAAGCCTAATCTCCCTCCCCCCTGCAAAAATGTAAAACAAAAGTACGCTAAATAGTACAGTCATTTTTATTTTATTTTTTAACTAAGAGTTACACACACATGGAATATGAGATGATTTTAGAGATTATCATGTAACGATTTAAAATATGCAGTTTAGAAAAAAGCTACTTCCTCCCCTCAACTGTATCAATAAAACTTAGAATCCTTCTAAGTAGTACTTTTCTTCATACATGTCAAAACTTCACACAAGTCATACATTCATTATTAGCCTAAGCCTACGCCTGGTATAAGTTGATACCTGTCCTTGCTCGCTAGCACTTATCCAGCCCACGAAGGCTACCCCACGTATGCAGTGAATGCACCTCTGTCCTCAGTACTCTCTCTTCTGCTTATTTACAGGCAACTCCATCTTCAATGCATGATGTTCTGACAAGGGAAGTGGTTTGTACCTTTGGTAAATCATCACAGGGGCTTCTCTAAAGACTGGGAAATGGATTCACAATCTTATTTTTAGCCAAAGATGAGAACTATTTGAGCTTTGCTTGGTTGCACTCTTACTGTTCATAAGCATTCCAAACAAACCAAAACAACCTTGGATGTAGAATCTGGTACTTTCTGAAAGCATAAGGTATCTACATTGACCTCATATATCTGGATCTATCATAGGAGTTCCAAATGAAGCAGACCCTCAGGCACTTGAGAAAAAGGGTTTCAAAGTCTAATAGCTCATAACGTTACAGGCTTATTAAAAACCATAGAAATGAATATCTCTTAACACAATTAAGTGATATGAGTGGATAGGATTTAGGGATAATTTTGTTCTAATAATTAGTACCTTTTAATTAGATGCTTTCCCTTTTAAAAGTAAAATATAAACCTTTGGGTTTTTTTTTTTAATCCACTCTCTCTGAAGACTTCTAGAACACTGCTGCCGAGGTCATGCCATAGCTAAACTGTCAGGGAGGAGAAGTAGAGGACATGGCAAGAGAAGGTTCCCAAAGCATATCTGCCAACTGTGAGGATGAATTCTAGCCCAGGATGGGAGTGGGGGGTTTTAAATGTGTGCAGGGATTTGGTTTGCTGGATTCATGTGTATAATTTAAAGCATTTTTTTCTTATTCTTCATCCCATCCCAGGGCCAAAGTCTCTAAAATGCACTTCAAGTTTTGGAGATAATGGCAAACTCAGCAAAAGAGAGTTCTACAAAAGATTTAATCTCTTAAACCTCTCTGTGCCTCAGTTTCCTTATTTGTAAAATGGGAATAAAAATAATTCTTAAGTCTCTCAGGGGGTTGTTGTAAGAATGAGTTAATATGTGTAAAAGCTTAAAACAGTGTCTGGCTCATAATAAGTGCTTAATATTACTCTAACTCTTACAAACTTAAACTTCCAAAGGTGGCTTCCTTTTCCCCACTTGCACTGTTAACTCACTTCAATAAGCAACCTTTCGATAAATCACAGAGAAAAAAAATGTGACAATGAGTGTGTATATGTCCATGAATGACTGAAAGATTGTGCTGAACACTGGAATTTGACACAACATTGTAAAATGATTATAAATCAATAAAAAATGTTAAAAAAAAAATAAGCAACCTTTCCAAAGTCTGTCCTCCACAAAGAGCTCTTGCTATCAAACTTTCTCCTTAACCCATGTCTTGCTGTATAAACTTTACCTTTCTTTTAAAAGATGGTATTCCTATTTCTTATTTAATTTCACTGGCACCAGGACTTCCACAGATGAGAACTGATGGAGAGTGGTGGTAAGGCCCTGGGAGAACTGTTCCCTCACTTCCGAGGAGAGCATTAAGGATTGTGAAGGGCAGTGTAAGGAGAGCAAGGCTGCCATAAGAACACTAAACTCTAGGAAAGAACATCCACCTAGATGTGCTTTTCCGGCAGAGAAGCCTAGGCCAGCAGGGAGCCGTGCCTTTCCCTATTCCTTCCAAGGACATATCTGAATAATTAAGTATGAATACTTTGATTCATCTAATCAATAAATTCCAGAAATAAGAATGAAAAATGAATTAAAATAACATTTATTAGTATTTTTATCCACCATCCAGATTTATTATTTAATGTCATTCACTATCATTTACTGAACACTTACACTATTTTATTTATAACGATGAGTGCTTTAATAAATCAACTCCCACATAAACCCTAGGACATAAGCCCTATTATTATTCCCACTTTA